AAGTGACCTCTTATTATTCGAACTTCCAACCCATGGAAACTGAACCCTCAGCACGAACCAATATCGAATTGGAATAGTTTGCGAGTGCGAAATGCATTGTCAAATTTTGTATGGAAATTTGAACAGCAGCACACCTTATTAGACGTTACCAGAACTAAAAATCAATACACATTCCAGCCACACAGGCCAGACAGTTAACTTTAGTTTATTGAGAATACCTCAGACAGCAACATTTTTTTTGGGTATAAAATTATCCCATATCTCAATCCAGGTCATAAATTACATGCGTATCAAATTTCATCCCAATCCGTTAAGTAGTTTTTGTGTAATTGACTAATAAAAATACACATTTTCACATCACTACATACGAGTAGTATAAAGCAAAGTCGCTTCCCGCTGTCTGTCCCTATGTCCCTATGTATGCTTAGATCTTAAAAACTACGCAAGGGATTTAGATTTTTTTTAACAGATAGAGTGATTCAAGATGAAGGTTTATATGTATAATACATGAATAATATAGTAGAGAAACACTGATAATTTTAGAGGTTTTTAATGTAAGGTCGTAAATAAATACATTTTTTTGTGCTTACATTGCATTTTAATGCAAGGTCGTAAATAAACACATTTTTTGCGGTTACATTGCAAAAGCTAGCTGAACCCTACGAGATAGATTAAAATAATGTCCTACAGTATTGTACACCTTAAACAGGTCTACAAAAAACTTCCGCGATGGTATATGTCTATCTCTTAGGGATAACCCACAATAACCATTTTTTATCCTACACTTTTTACGAGAAACAATAGATTATTTACGAAGCGATTTTCAGCAATATAACAGTCATCCTTATCCAATGAAGTACCTTAAATACATTGTTCATTTAATATAGACCAATTTGGCCCTTCAACGCATGTAATTTAAATGAATATTTTCGAAGATATTGCAGATTTAAAATTCAGGGACATAGCGGTTACGACGCTACCGGGCAGGGGGCTTGGCGGCGCGTGCCTATTGTTATTAGGTATCAGAAGAATGTAATTGTGTATAATACAAGCCTGAGAACAAAAATTATAGTCTACACTACAGCTCTACACCGAAGCGAAGCGAGGGCGGGCCACTAGTATATAATATTAGCGGGATTCGTGTCCTTATTTAAATTACACTGAGCATTGCGAGATGAAATGTTAGTTTGTTCTTACAGAATAGCGCTGCTGTTCATTGTTAGGCTTTTACTTAGGTAATATGCCCATGAAAATTAGCAATTTTAACCAAAAATAAGTATTCTGCTGATTTTCATTAAATTTTTTTGCTTTCAACCCTTCACCAACGTTAGAAGGATGCATATTCATCGTTTCAAAATGGTATATTCTGGTTAGATTATTGGCAATTAAAGGACCATCACCAATGACGGCTATGCGCGCAGCTACTGGTGAGTATTGCGAATGTGGAGATGTTAAAGGGTATATTCCGTAATGTATACCAGTATACTGGCTAGTGCTAATGACGTAATGAATCGACGCTATACTGGTGAATTGTTCCGAAATATACTGGCCAGTGCACTGACGACATAAATCGACGAAATATTAAAAATAGTGCGAATAAAGAAGATTTTTATTTACGTCATCAATTATAAGGAATTCTTCTTGTTCAGCCGTTATTGTTCTTTAAATAAAAAAAGAAATAAAATTTGAATGCTTCTCACGCACGCTCGGTCATACGTCATATTCGTTTTCCCGGTAAAAATATGGTAGCATACCAGTACAATATGGCGTCGGATTCGTGACGTCATTACCACTGGCCAGTATACTGATGTATATTTCGGAATACACCTAAAATGTTGCGAGCTTTTGCTGTTACGATGCATTTGAAGTCCTCTGTTAAAGCTTGTAGGAGTTTGTCATTGAGCGTCGTCACTTAACAGCAGATCCCACAACAGATATTTTATATCAATACTCATATGTACGTTTGGATGTAGGAGTTTAAAAATTAAAAGACCAAAATTAAGTATAGGTAAATTTTTGATCAGATTTTCGTTTATCTTATTCAATGGAATCTTTTTAACCTAAAAATTACTCAGGTAATCATCCTATTCTGTGTGTTATTATTGCAGTAACCGGATAGATTAGCTATAATGAATCATCGTGTTACCAAAACACATTATCTCCATTACAGAAGTCAGGCATATAAACATACACAGCCACTGTTATGTTAGCAACATGCGTCAACGTTTCGTTAATAGGTTTTTAATTCAGTCCCTCACGCGACCCACATAACTTAAAAGATAAACTTCTACTTGGCGTTTCCGTGCAAACTGATAACGAAACTATTCCATGCTTTAGATGGGAATGTGTTGAGAAACAAAATAAAATAGCGTCTGCGCAAAGAGAGTTGGTGCAGCAGAGATTAAAGGTCGATGCCTCCAATATTGTATTTGACAATATTAAAAATAAAGTGCCAATGGATAGCATAATTTTACTAAAAACCCACGAAAAAGATAATAGTTTTCTTATCTATTGTCACGTGACTCAAAACGCTTGGGATTGGCGGAGCCTAAAATGACGTCACACGCAAGTAAACTTCCGGTTAAAGTGACATTACATTGTATCGTTTGACGTTTTAATAACAGTCATGTGACGTCATACACTAGTAAGACGCCATATTGTCCAGAGAAACGTTTTCGCGGCTACTTGAAAATGGAGGTTTTGATTTGGTTATTTTTACTGAAATACACAACAGAATGATGAATATCCACCTTTTTACGGACTCCATAAACATTAGTCAATAACGTGAGATCGTTTATAAAAATACCCGATTGCGATACTTTTATTCATATGAGTGAAAAGACAGTTTCGCAGAATTTCGCAAGAATAAATGAATTAAACAGACAGATTGATTGTTATGGGACGCTATCTGTCATAAGCTTCACCATTGCATCGGCCTGACTTCTCCTTGAAGCAGGTCATAGTAGTTAACAAGGCCTAAGGTGGGAGGGAGGAGGCTATACATATAAAATAATAAAATCAAAATCAATATCGTTTATTCAGTCTAGGCTGTTACAAGCACTTGTGAATGTCGAAAAGCTACGACATCGGTTCGCAAATCTACGGCGGGAGACCTAAGAGAAGGAAAAGAAGACTTATACATAAGTGTCGCCCCACACGGGCCACCGACCACAACCACAAAACGCCGCATATTTCTTGTAGTTTTCATAAATTTTATATGGACTCGCCACACCCCACCTGATGTTAAATGGGGATAGAGTCTAAACGCAAAGATAGCTGGTACAGCAGTTATAAATGCGGTAGCATAATGGTGAGTGCATTCGCCCGGATAGCGAAGGGTGCTGGTTTGAGTCCCGTCTGCTGTCTGGTTCGCGTGGAATTTTTTGTAGTAATATTTTCTTTGAATTTAAAAATCTAGCAAAAATAAAATATAAATTATGATTACATTCTTCTTGAAATCTTAAATGAAACAGTACTTCAGTACACAGCTATGTAGTATTTTGTTATTTTATTAAGAGGTCAAACTACTAATTTATATTACTGTGAGCATTGTATTTGAGCATTTTTCGAGCTAGGTTAGCAAAATCAGGTTAGTTTTTAGAAATTGCCAACCTTTAAGAATCCAACGTATGATCGTCTGTCAAGAATGGTGTTTATTTTTTGTTTGTAAGAAGGATATGTTGACTCAAATAAATTATATTGAACCAAAACACGAATGCAGTTGTTCAACACATCTTTTGAAATTTGGATATTTCTCGTTAAAAACCAATGCCCAGAAATCCAGACCTGAGAATGACTTTGCTTTTAGAAATATGTCCCAGCGCGTAGTCATAATTACATGTGGTCTATTTGCTATGTACATATCTGAAAATTTTGTAGCCATTTCATAGATATCACTATAGAAGACAACTCCTGCCTCCTTATCGGGCTTGCAAGTGTGGGCACAGCCGAAGCAGCTCTTACTTTCTTCCTTTGGGTGCGGTTGAAATCTTCTACGTGATTTCCGAGATACTCGTAGTTACGCGCTGCGTGTCACTATATATGCGTACGACCTATCTGCACCGAATCCGAGACAGCAGAGAGCGACCGTTGGAAATGACGAGCCAACGACCGTTATTAAGTTTGAGTATCCGCGCATAACAATATACGCAGTACCCACACATCTGCCATCTGGACAGGTTCGCAGATCGAACACTAGGTGGCGTCAGCGAGCATATTGCAAATCGAAAAGCCAAATGCGAACATTGTTGATGTAAAAAAAAAACTCACACATAATAAAACGCCCAACCAGAGATTAATAAAAAAACTATGAAAGCTCGAAATGATATAATTGTTGAAGACGTTTGCATTTGGTCAGATCCAGATGCATCAAGGAGCTTTAAAGTATCTATCTCAGGAGTGGCCGACTTGATTAGACCCAAGATCTAGAGTTTACTGTTGAAACTCTGTGATCTACCAATTATATACTTCTTGAAATATTAAATGAAACAGCACAGTTTAGTACACAATTATGTAGTATTTTCACACATCTTGAAATTTGGATATTTCTCGTTAGAAACCAATGCCCAGAAATCTAGACTGCTTTTAGAAATATGTCCTAGCGCGGAGTCATTTTTACAGATGGTCTATTTGCTATGTATTTGCAAATTTTGTAGCCATTTCATAGGTATCACTATAGAAGAGAGGATAAAGAAGATTTTTAGCAGTTGGTGATTACGATGCGCAGTCTGTTCTATTTGATTTGCCACGTTCGACTGAACTAAGAGTCGCGATCGACTGGTCGATCGTGATCGACTGGTCGATCGTGATCGACTGTTTGTCCACCCCTCTATCTAGATCTGTTATTAAATTTTCTATCGTTTTTCTTTAGAATACCTTACCAAACATATAAACAAGTTATAAACATTACGTGGCGTACAATCGACACGACATTTCGGCATGACTAGTTTATTATGTTTGTGCACATCTATTGTTTTGGCGCGTATTGTCCGCTGTGAAAATGGACAATGATGCCGCACGCACCGCTTCCGCCCGTGTGCCTGCCTGCATCGCTACAGCCGCGCACGAAACGAAACGTAAACACTTCCAGCGGCTTTGCTGGCTGGATGGCGCGACGACAATCACGGCCATAGTGTTTCGCGCCAGAATTACTTTTTAATTCGAATTTCAAAAGTGTTTTAGCGTCGTCGGTGTGGATAATTCTTTGCTGCTATTTTTTTTTTAATTTTTCTCTGGCAGTGGCTGGTCTTGAAATGCTTTATGTGGAATTGAAGCTTTAAATTTTAACAACAGAATAAATAATAAACTTTTGAAGATGTAGTGCGATTGTGTAAACTATACTCATTGGATACTTAGTTCTTGGTAAGTGCATGTTATCCAATTTTTTACAATTAAAATATTTAGTTACTTAAATATTAAATTAAAAATGTTAATAACTGGGCTTGTAGGTAAAATATAATTAAAAAAAAAATTATGTGCCTCTGGTATCCGCGGATGGTATTATAGATGAAGTTAAGCAACTTTCGCAGTGGTTGGTCATTGGATGGGCACGTTAAGCCGTTGGTCCCGGCTGCATCTTCAGTCTTTAGCACCCACCAATTTGCACTGGGCTCGCGTCGTGGGTCATGGCCGCATCATCTCCCTATTCCATCCATACGGAAGTCTGTGGTCCAGGAGTGGGGACATTAATAATAAGCAGACGATGAATGGTATCCGCGAGGGCACGAACCTGCACTATTTCCTCTATCCTGTTTAGCTAACAAAACCTCCGAGACTTTTTTTTTAAAATTTGGCAACTTTTACGTTTACTGCCAGCAGCCTTAATTAGTTTCTGATTCAATTAGATCTATATAAACTTAATAAAAAATTTGGTTAAAAGAGACTTAAATTTTATAATGTTATGTCACTTTTGTGCAGTGAAAATTAAAGTCTCTACCGGATGGGAATCGAATCCGAAAATAAGCGGTCGATTTAAAGAGAATTCCCGTATACATATTTGCCTATGTATGAGATATTTAAAATAAAAAAAAAAGGATTTGTATCGACAATAAAATAGGAGTCCCGTATTCTGAAGCTTGTACCTGGTGGATTTTTTACTTGTAAAATTTTCATTACTTACTTTAATAGCTTACGCTCATTTTCATTGATATTGTTGTTACCAATACAATAGAAAAAAAAGAGCACAGGGCCTTTGAAAACCATCGGCGGTCAGAAATAACAAAATGAAAAAGTAAGCGATAGCGATAGCCATAGCAATCCCGTTAGGTAAAAGGCCCCCTGGGGGCCATGCGCCTAACGGAAATGCTTTGGAAAACGCTACGCATTTCATTTTGTTATTTCTAGCCGCCTGAGGTGTTCAAATGCCTCGCGCTCTTTTTTTACTTTTGCATTGGTAATAACAATATTGAAAAAAAGAGCGTGAAGTATTTGAAAACCTTCGGCGGTCAGAAATAACAAAATAAAATCGAAAGCATTAGTGTTTTCCAAAGCATTTCAGTTAGGCGAATGGCCCCTTGGATTTCGTTCACATTCACCATTAGATGAAGTCATAATATTGCTCAGATTTTTTATAATAAAAACTAACAATTCGAAGACCGGTTCGTTTTCATTCGGACATTAAATTGTTAATAATGGTGCGTGATTAGATACATGCCAAGGTGAATCTTTTGATGGAATGCTTATTTACCATGCGACTTGCAGAGTCATAGCGATTATGGGGGACATGACACTGTTCTTTTTATTAACTGCACTTGATTAGTAGAATTGTTTTGTTGTTACCCAATGTCATGTACACAAGGTTAGTGAGTTATAATGTGAGTTCTCTAAACTTAACTCACCCACTGTGGCGGACTAACAGGGGGGCGGAAGGGGCGGCCCGCCCCGGGCCTCCGATCTTGGGGGGCCCCCAAATGCCTCCGCGTTCCCCTGATCAAATCCTAAAGTAGACTTTAAAAATGTGCTTAGTACCTACATAATTTCATCAAGATCAAAACACTACAGCCATCTAGACTTTTTACGCGGTACTAATATTCTTTTAAGTTCGCTGAACGCGTCCAATACGCTGGGGGAATTCCCGTCTCTGTAGCGGGTACTCCCTCAGGTATCCCTTGAATGAATGAAGTACAAATAATTCACTCTTGTACGCCTACATTTAATAACATATGTCCCTATTTAGTCTGGTAAGAGGAGCTCGATGGCGCAAGTGGTTAGCGCGTTCCGCTGCGATCGTTGAATTTAAGCAACGTCATGGAGATCATGACCCCCCCCTGGGCTGGGTCCATCTGTACCCACTTCAAAATCTGTACTCCACAATCTGTACCAACTGTGACTTGAACACGACTATATGACACCCCCTGTGCCAAAGCTGGATCCGCCCTTGAGAGTGATGAATGAAAATGAAATTCTTTTTTACTTTAGGATATAATGACGCGTAACGGTTAAGGGGACGGTATTCGGCATGCGTCACTAATCTAAGTAGACCGCAAAAATATTAACCGTCCGTTAATTTTATCAGTTACGGTTTAAAATGCGACAAGGTACCTCAAACTCTCACTCTTAGCTGTACTATAAAATGTAGCAAGAAACACTTTTGTTGGTATTGTAATTCAATAATCGTGGAATGATCGAATTGAACAAACGCATTTATGTCAGTAATTAGGATTTGAATTTAGCGTAATATCCGTAAGTAGATTTGCAAATTGTCAACGTAATAGCCGTAATTTTGCTTTAAATTTGAAGTTTTTTTGCTATAATTAAACAAATTTAATAATCGGACAGTATTCGTCCGTGTATAAAAGTGAACGTTTACATAATTTGTACATGCTTAGTAAAAAAAAGCGAGTGTGCTTATGACCACACGAATGAATTGAAACTTATACATGTACGTACACGTACAATATATATATATATATGTATGTACATATACATATTTCAATTACTAGCTATAAGAGAAAGAGAGAATGAAAATGTGCGCGCGCACTGCTTATCCTTGCTTATATCCCCCACTCAACTCCCGTTCGCCTCGATGAACACACTTTTCGTAACGCGTAACGCATTTGCCAGTTTACCCCCCAAGTTAAGCGTGCGTAAAGAAGTTTCGTTTCAATAAATAAATCATAGATGTCACGATGAAATGTAATTGTTTATCGCTCTGCTTCAGCAGGATTGTTTGCTCGTTGTGTTGTAGAAGTTGCGAGTTGCGAGATGAAAGCTAGTTTGTAATAATAAAAACAACTGAATTCATAAAATTACTCTTAAACTAACTACCACTAAAATGTGATACATACACACGAAAAAATTAAATGTTCATCTGTCGTTTTCTCCACCACAATCTATATGTATAAAACTCAAAGGTGACTGACTGACATAGTCATCTATCAACGCGCAGCCCAAACCACTGGACGGATCGGGCTGAAATTTAGCATACAGGTAGATGTTATGACGTAGGCATCCGTTAAGAAAGGATTTTGATCAATTCTACCCCCAAAGGGATAAAATAGGGAATGAAAGTTTGTATGACACTGTCAATTTTAAACCGATCGGGCTGAGACTTTGCATGCAGGTATAAGAAGAATCCTAGATGAATGTCATTGTGTATAATACAAGCCTGAGAACAAAAACTGTAGTCTACACTTCAGCTCTACACCGAAGCGAAGCGAGGGCGGGCCGCTAGTATACAATATTGCAGTACTTAGTAGACAACATCCACGTTATCTGTTCTGTGATTCATGCCATTGCACCAATCGATCGAAAAGTACTTACCTATTTAGTCAAGTCATCATTATCTGCCCATTACTGTCCCCACTGCTGGGGTAGGAGCTCGAGATAATTAGTTTTTGTTCACCCATCCAATTGCGAAAGTTGCTTAACTTACAGGATCGCAGGCTGAATGCGCCTAACACCACTTTTTTAAGAACATAACTGCTATATATTGTTTTAAACTTTCATGGTCACTAACATTATAGTAATATAAGTTATTTACGGGATTGGTACCATGTACCTTGTTTTTAGCGAGTTTCCGATATTTCGGCACTGTTGCAAGCGCCATGATCACGGAGTAACTGTAGAGTTAAATTTAACAAATCCCGTAAATAACTTATATTACATAACTGCTAGTTGTTTCATGTTTAAATCTACAGAAAATTTTACTAGAAAAACTTTCCACGCGGTAGCATAATGGTCAGTGCATCCTCCCGGATAGCGGAGGGTACAGGTTCGAGTCCCGTCTGCTGCCTGGTCCACGTGGATTTTTTTCTAGTAAAATTTTCTTTACATTTAAGTATCCTTATTTTAAATGATTAGTTTAACTAAAAACCATGTCGTTAGTTCATGGACATTTAACCGTTATTATTAGCCGCAGCAGAAAAAGTATATTTTAGAATCTTTTTTCTGATTTATTTGTAATTGATTTGTATAAAAATAAACAATAGTTAACTGTGATTTGCCACACACGGGCATTGATTAGGGGACCTTTTGTAGATTATAATGCGGTTGTTTTTGTTGGAAAGCGCGTCACAGCCGAGTGGTCCGCAACCTTCCGCCTCTCTGCTATGGGTCACAAATAGCATGAAACTGGGCATTGTTTGCTGATTGTCATAAAATATGATGACGCTGCCAATTAGCTTGGCTAAAATATGAGGAAAATTTATAAAGACCTATGGGTATTGTATAGCTACAGTTAACTTCACGTCTGGACTTCACCGTCACTTAACATCAGGTGGGGTGGAGTAATTTGTCGGATCTATCTATATATAAAAAAAATGACTGGTTGCACTCCGGGAGTGCCGGCAGAAGTGAAAACTTGAATATTAACGTCGTGCATTTTTGATATTTTGTAATGGTTAGGGAATAATTTTGCACGAATTGCTTTAATTATCAGTATAAAAGTACTATCATGTATGTGGTAGAATACAATATTTATTTATTGCGCTAACGTACACAAACATGACAATTTATATTAAAAAAAATTATCTCTCAGAAAAATCAACTTACATGAATCACGTTTAAGCGCACTTAGCGACATCTATTGTAAAGAAAATGCATTTTCTTCGCAATAAAGCTGCCACGTGGACGTCCTAGATAGGGACTTATTATTATAATACGGTAAATTAACATATTACTTTCGTTTCGTCCAATATATTAAAAGTCAACAACTCTTCCAATTTTATTGTGTGTCATGATGCGATCAGCCTAAGTGTTTAACCTTACGCGAGTTTAACATTTTTTAACCCATACAAAAAGAAGTGTACAACGCCGCTAAAGAAGTTTTCACTTCAAAAAAAAATTTTATGTTTTTGTAATTGGATTCTACCTGCCCATTTTGAAGTTATAACTTCTTATAGGAAGGTGATTACGCTTCATTA